GAGTGGTTTTGAAAGGTAAAGGGGTTTTGACAGCCCAGTGATTCCATGTCTCATTCAGCCACTCACTCCCCTGTGAGTGCGATCCATTGTTTCCAAGAGCAGGTGAGGAGACAGTGTTGGGTGTAGGAGAAGGTAAGCTCAGAGAACACTGAGGATCACTTCTAGACCTCACTCTCTGATCCCCTGGCTTGTGACTGAATGAGTTCAGCTGTTAACAGCAGCCCGCCCCACTACTGCTACCCACCTTGTACTCTGTGGAGGGAACACCATGCTCTCCTTGGTGGCTGACATCTTCCTAAAAACCCTTCTACCCATCCTGATGTATTTAGCAGTGGCCACTGTGGCCTTAACTAGGTGAAGAAATGAGGCCGAACTTAGCTTTGTGTGAAGTTTGTAGCCCTGGCAGCTGGTATTTAATAGAAGTTTAGAATGAAGGCTCTGGGTTAGAATCTGGACCCCACCCTTGGTAACTGTGTGATCTTGGGCAACGTATTTTTTTTTTTTTTAGCTGAGCCATCCTGCCACCTGTTGGCAGCTCAGCGGCTGCTCAACTCGGGCCAGGACTCGAACCGCTGTTGCTCAGAGCTCAAACTCTTGAGCGAGCTCTTAACCAACTGAGCCACTCGGCCGGCCTGGTTGGGCAATGTATTTAACTTTTCTGAGCCTTGGTTTGCTATGTAAAGTAGGGATGATAAGTGGACTGACCTTTTAGGGTAATTTTGAGGTTTAAATGAGGCACTGGGCTTGGAACACCTTGTATACATTATCTCAGAATAAATGCTCAAACAGTAGCTGCTATGGTTTCCTTCGCATTTATCTGTATCCACACTCAAGGGGCTGTTAGTAGGCAGGTAGTAGATTAGTCTCGTCTTGCAGGCTCTCCCCAGGACTTGGACCCACCCCAGCTAGAGTATGGCTTTGGGTAACCAAGTGACAAGACCCCTTCTCCTTGTCAGTTTCCGCAGCTGACTGGCTGGTGTGTTAGTGACACGTGCATGAGGCTCCAGTGACACCTGAGGCAGCAACCCTGTGCACAGCTTGAGCTCCTGTCTTGTCTCTGCCTGCTTAGCAGCAATTCATGCTATCCATTAGTAATGAGTAGACGGTCCACTTGTCCCGTGATTATGTCATTGCCAAAGTCACCCATGTTAGCAGAAACTGCACGGTACAGCAGGAATAGTCCCCCTAGGGGTCCGGGGCTCTGGTTTCCAGGCTTCAGCTAGCCACCAAATAGCTGTGTGACATTCAGCAAGTTGCTTCGCTTTTCTGGACCTTCCTTTGAAAAATGAAGTGATTGAGCTGGAGGGCACGTAAACTTCCTCCTACACTGAACCTTAGTTACAGCCAACGCAAATATCCAGACGCTCTGTTCCTTCCTGAGCCTGATGGTGGGGTGGAGTGGAAGTCGAGTCAGAAGGCCGTGACTGCAGACTCTCCAATCTGGCAGCCTCAACAAAGGCAGAGCTCTCTACACCCCCCCTCCCCCGTTGATGACACTGGAATACCCATGCGTTTCCAAGTGCTTCACAGTCACGGCTGGCCTGGGCCAGTGTAGTGTCTAATGAAGGTCACTTATCAAATTCATTCATGAGCAGCCTCTCAAAATTCTCCCTATAGAGCTGTTTCCATGAAAGCTGTTAGTGTCCATGAGTCATGATGATATTTAAAATTTTTCCTGGGTTGCATCTTACAGCTCAAGCCCAGCTCTGCTAACATTTTCCTCTTCAGTATTGTTCGAAGCAGAGCCTCAGCTCTTTGGTCTGCCAGCTGGGTGGCTCTGCTGTGAGTGAACTAACTACCAGGGAGACTGTGAGTGTAAGGCCCTTACTCAAATAATGTATTACTACTAGGGCCTGGGTCTTTTGTTGCAGTTTGAAGGTACAGCTTAGTGGGTTGTGCCAAAGATTTCTAGGCATCATCTTT